CACTGTTCCTAAAGGAGAAAGCAGCAAAAGACGTGGACGAGATGATCAAACTGACAGAACAGTATATGGAAACCCATGGAGGGAATATAACTGGCAAGTCTAAGAATAACCAATTAAAGCCAAAACAAGTGGCGGCTGACCAGAAGCAGGAGTCCACCAAGGGTGACAGGAGATTAACAGACAAAAGGGAGAAGAGATTCTATATTTGTTATAAAATAAGGCACATTGCAAAGGAGTAGAAGTACATCACCAACAAGCAACAGCAGAAATCTCAACATAAAGCAGCTGAAGCTACCTACAAAGATGGTGCTGGCAAGAAACAAGAAAAGAGTGACTGTCACCATGGGTGCTGCTGCCAGAAGAAACAGTATGGAGACAACTCACCAGATTCACTATAAGAAGGAAGTGCTATTTCCATGATTGATCAGTGCACGACCAATGGTCAGCTCAAGTTAGCAAATGGATCAACAGTGCCAGTAGGTGAAGGCTATGTTGGGGACAAGAAAGTGAAGGTCCTGCAAGACACTGGGGGCAGTAGTGCAGCAGTGACAACCAGTCTAGTATCTGATGACCAGATGATAGGCGAGGTATGCCTGTGTGTGTGCTAATTAATGGGACAGTGAGAAAGTTTTCCATAGCAAACATGTAGGTGAATACTCCATACTATGTAGAATACTTTGAAGCCATGCATATGAAGGCACCAGTACAACGATTTAATGATTGGAAGCATACCGTGTAGTAGAAATTTGGGGATCTAAATAGAAAGAAGAGTGATGAAGCATCTGCAGTCACCACAAGAGTTCAAGGGAAGAAAGGCAAGCAAGATATCAAGCCCCTCAAAAGAGACATATCAAATGTAGGTTCAGGGTAGCTGAAAGAAACATAGAAGAAAGACCTGTCACTGCAGAAATTTTGAAATAGTGCCAGAGAGAAAGTCTAGCACAATACAAAAGGGAAAGGGACTTACAAAGCAGAGGATTGGAAAGGGGTACCAGACCTATCAAAGCAGTTCTACTGGAGGATCTAAACACATCAAAGGCAGTAAGATGCTTTTCTATGACAAGAAGGCCAAGGATCAATATTTCAAGGTCAGACAAAAGGTCTTAGTTCTGCTACCCACAGCCAACAACAAACTAACCCAGCAGTGGAATAGACTTTTTGCAATACAGGAAGTGGTCAACAGAATGCACTATAAGGTGAAAGTGAAGGAAGCCAAGATATACCATTCCAATCTGTTGAAGAGGTACTTTGAGAGTGAAGAAGACCTTATAGGTGTGGCTATTAAGGTACAGATGGACATGACAGATGTGGTTGTCAGAAATGCAGAACCATAAGACAGTGATAGACCCAAGACCATTAGTTGGAGATGAGACATACAAGGACATCAACATCAGTAAAGAACTGATTGGCAAGCAGAAGAAAGAGGTACAAGATCTACTGTGCCAACCTGTGTGGACTTTGACGAAAAGGAGACAATTATTAAAGTTCTGGGTACAACTGTGGTAACCCACGGGATAGCATCAGTGAATTTATTGCAGATTGTATAGTAAAAAACAGAATAGTGAAAAATAATTCGTCTTGTCAATTGAATTCTAAGGTAATTGAATCAGTCTGAGTAGACTTTTGACAAGAAAAGAGAATTATTTAAAGCTTTAGATACGCCTGTGATAACCACTAGTGTAACGAATTTTTGTTCATACGTTTGACTTGTTTTGAATATATTATTTTAAAACACGTGGATTGTTTGGTGTCTGTTTGTTGCTCGAATTTATCTCCAACAAGTCACGGACACCTACTGTAAAGAATTCGGCTCCATAAACTGACATCTACCATACCAAGAGAACACGGATGTAGGTCTGTTGTTCTGGTATTTTTTATTCTCTGAATCTGACACATTTCCACAAAAAAGGCTGACTCAAAGTTCTGTTTCTGGTTTAAATGAACAAATGTTGCTAATTTGTTGTTATAGTTTTAAACACTAAAATGAGATACTAGAGTTTCAGCTTTTTGGATACGAACAGCATATACTTCTGGCTATTTGGTGAAATAGTTTATCACAACCATCATGGGTTTTGTTTTTATCAAAGGTAATCTATGCATTCCTTGATTCTCTACACCCTCTACTGTGGACTGTCCACAAAAAGAGTGCTGGAAATGCATTGGTGAAAAGAAAAGAATTATGTATTATAATCATTAAACAGTTGATCCATTATATAATATTGAAAAAATAAATATTATTCACACACCTAAATTAAGTTATATTACTATATAGTGAGCTAAAAGGACTCAAAAATGCATAAACAACAATGTTGTATTTACTCCTACTATTACATTGTAGCATAAGATCAAACACGTTGACAGAAATCGTGCTCAAATCGTCTTTCCGTATAAATAAGTTGTCCACACTCTAACCGTCTATTGTACAGCCTTTGATTATGGACGTGTCGTTATAACTCCAACCATGTATTGTACTGCATTGCTAATTAGAAGATGTCATTTATACTCCAACCATATATTGTACCGCTTTTC